CCGGTCCACGTCGTGTCCGTCCGGCCCCTTCGCCCCCGGTCCGTGTGTCGGTCCTGACCCTGTCTCCGTTCGTCCCCGGTCCCTGTGCCCGGCCCCTCCGCCCCGGTCCGTGGGTCTGTCTGTCCAGGTCCCACGTTTCTCTCCCACTCGTCTATTGGGTGTGTCCGTCTCCCAGGCCCGAGTCCGGCTGTCTGTCCCTTTGGCCCCTGGCCCTTAGGGTTTTTTTCACGGCTCCCGGACCCTTTCCCCTTGTCTGTCCCCCAGGTCCCCACCCTCCGCTGTCTGTCTGTCTGTCTGCGCCCTTTTCGCTCCACGTGGGTCTCTGCCCTTCCCCTCCCCCCTTATCGTGTCTCTCTGTCTGCCTGTGTCATCCATCGCCCCAAGTGTTCGTCCCCCCCCCAAAGGAGCTGCCCATGCCTCCCTGCCTGGCTCCTCCAAACCAGTATTTATTATTCTAGTCCGAGGAACGGGGTATATTTTATATAAAAATAGCGACATATCTTTTTCCTTTTAAAGAAAAGGGAAAAAACCCTATAACTATATATTGCAAAGTTTATTTTATTTTTGTCCAAGTTTTTTATCTCAGAAACTGAAATAACGCAGCGGCCTCAGATTTTGGGTCTGAAGGATTTGGAAAAAGAAATAATAATTAAAAAAAAAAAGTATTTCTCTTTTTTTAATATAATTGACACATTTTGCTTTTGGAAACTAAGGCAAAGTGAAAAAACACCACAGTGTGGAGGAGGCCTTAGATTTGGTTGGTGGGTGGGTGGTGGGGTTTGGACTCCTTGCTTGTGGAAGGCTTAATTTTTTTTGCCTATTTCCAGGCCTTTTATCTCTCTGGCATCTTCCCTTCTTCCTCTCCCAGGGCCTGAGATAATCAAGCACACCTCTTCTGCAGAATTCTATCTCCACCCCCCAAATCCCCATAAACTTCTCTTGCACGAACCCCCAATCTGCTGCTCGACTTTCCAATCCCCACAGAGCACTCTGCTCTTATCCTGACTTCCCATTGGCCTCTACTTCCTTCTGCGACTCTTTAGCCTCTTCTGCCCTGAGGACGGACCCCCCCCCACCCCTTGTTCCCACTTCATTTTCCGTTAGCCAAAATTAGTGATTTAAAAAAAATAATAATTGTAAATTCCGTTTTAGTTTCTAAAACTTTTGTTTGTTTAAAAAAAAAAAAAAACTTTAAAAAACAAATTAGTTTCTGGTGGGAGTGCGTGCTGAGTGGAAGATGAATACGGCTGCTAGTAGCTACCCGATGGCGTCATTGTATGTGGGCGACCTGCACCCTGATGTCACCGAGGCCATGTTATATGAGAAGTTCAGCCCTGCTGGGCCTGTACTCTCCATCCGAGTCTGCAGGGATATGATCACCCGTCGCTCCCTGGGATATGCCTATGTCAACTTCCAGCAGCCAGCTGATGGTAAGTTGGACATAAATGCCTATCCCTCTTCCTTTTCTCGGAACTGTTTTGCTGTTTGTACAAGTCCATACAATCACCCTAGCTGTGAATGACCATGGCAGGGGTAAGCAACTTCATGGCAGCTCTGCTACTCGGTTATGAAGTTGGAATGATATTAACCACTTCACATCTTCAGAGTCCTTTGCAAACATTAACTAATCTTCACAACACCTCTTTGAGCTGTGGTCCAAGTGAAAAATTCTCTAAGTTATTTCTGTTGGCCAAAAATCAGCTTCCATGGACTCGCTTTTTCCTGGCTCATTTGAGAATGAAATCTTCCTCGTTTTCCCTCCCTGAATTGTCCTGCGTTAAGCTGCGTGTCTGGGTCTTTATCCAGTCAGTCACCTTGAAGGAAGGTAAAGGCTAGTCAGCATCTGGTCAAACCTTCAGTCCGAATGACTGTAAAGGAATCTTCCCTCTCCCACCCTCTAAGGGTTTGGCTACACTCGGGACATCACAGCGCTGCCGCGGCAGCTCTGTGAAGCGCAAGTGTAGTCGCGCCGCTCGCAGCGCTGTATGTACACCTCTCCGAGGGGAATAGCGTGCAGCGCTGCAGGCACTGATTACACTGGCGCTTTACAGCGCTGCACTCGCTGCGCTCAGGGGGTGTTTTTTCACACCCCTGAGCGCAGCAAGTTGCAGCGCTGTACAGCGCCAGTGTAGCCAAAGCCTAAGTGAGACTTGGGAGGTGCAGTGGGCTGAGGATTGTAGTGTCTGGGGGTATATCTACACTGAGGGTCTGGCTACACTTGCAGCTGTACAGCGCTGTGAGTTAAACCCGCCTTTGTACAGCTGAGTAGGGAAAGAGCTGCAGTCTGTCCACACTGACAGCTGCCAGTGCACTGGCGTGGCGTTTGCAGCTGCATTGGGAGTGGTGCATTATGGGCAGCTATCCCAGCATTCATGTGGCTGCATCGTGCTTTTCAAAAGGGGGGTGGATGGGGTGGAGTGTGACAGGGAGTGGGGGGGGGAAAGAGTGGTTTTTGGGGTGCTGAGAGTGTGTCAGCACCCTGCCTTGCAAGTTCCGACCCCCCTACCTCCCCTGCTTCTCATTCACTCACTCAAAGCAAACAGCAAAACGTTTGCTTTTTCTCTCTGGTACTTGGCACTTCCGCATTCCTGGAGCCGATCACAACAATGAAGAGAGAGTTGTAGCCACTACGCTGCATCTCTTATTCCTCTCGGGGAGGTGGAGTACTGCAGCACTGTAGCCAGGGAGATACAGCGCTGTACGTGCCTTGCCAGCGTGGACGGGGAGTGAGGTACAGTGCTGTGGGCGGCTTTATTGCGCTGTAACTCGCAAGTGTAGCCAAGGCCTCAGTTGTAAAACCAGTGGCAGCGAGACTCAGAGCCTGGATCCACAGACTGGGGTTCCTGCAACAGCACTATAAACAGCAGTATGTGTTTGGGCTCAGGCCCTGAAGCCCACCCCCTTCCCTGGCTCTAAGACTCTGTCACAGTTTTAAAATGCAGTATAGACATACCGGGGGTAAATTGTCTGTTGGCTGATCTAGTTTGCTATTGGTTGTGAAGTTGAAATGCCGCATTTACTGATGCTTTTTCTACCCTTTTAAAAAGGAATACACACTCAACTCACATGAAGCGCTGATGGTGCCTTGCATGGCTTAGGCTCTGTTCAAGGTAGGTGTCCTTGGCCCACAGCAGCAGAGCTTTGAGAAGGATGGGGCAGAGGAGGTCAATGTTTAATATGTCCCCTATCCAGAGGAAAAAGCTGGGTCAGCATTTTCTGCCCTAGTTCCCACAGTCTTGCATTACAGACATCTAAGGTCTGTGATTTAGCAGCACCTTTACATGATGTAAGACTCTAGAGTGGGGAACTTTTAACTTTAATCCAGAATTAGTTTGCAACAGCACAAACTTCAGCTCCAAGTGAACTCTATTGTATCCACTAGATTCAGGTTTAAGAATACAGTCTTGTCGGTACACCAAAGGAATACATGGTCCTTGAATCATGAGCTTTCTAATCTGTAATAAATAGAATATATCAGTTATGTAGTAACGATTCCTCTAAACCTATTGAGAAGCAGAGCCTATTGGGCTAAATTCTTGTCTGGAATTGTGTGGCCCTGATTTTATGCTGCCCTGGGTTTTCATCCTGTCTCCTGATACATGAGACCCCAGAGTAGCATCTTCCCCCTTTTCCCCAGTGGTGCTGATTGCTTTGAATGGCACTTCTGCTCCTGCCTATTGACGTGTTACTAAAAAGCTGCCTCGTAGCCCAATGATTTTTTTCATACATGGAGCCTTTTGGAGTTGCTTCATACACAGGCCAAGCAATGTACGATGTGGTTTAAGACTTAACAGCAAGAAGGGATGGATTAGAGAGAGGCTGAGGTTGTACACATGGTTCTCTTCTTAGTCCTGTAACTTTCCGTGTTATTACCTCTTATAAAACACTTTTGTTTCACAGCACCTTGTAAACATTAACTGAGCCTCCTAAGCTGGGAGAGGTAGGTATTATCTCCCCTCTCGGGGTTGGGGAAAAAACGGGCAGTGGAAACAACGCCAAGTGGGAGTCAGACCTCAGATTCGATGAACACAGAGATGTAGTCTGAGTATCCATCAGAAGAAAGGAAGAGATGCAGGGAAATGTAGCTATGTAAACTTTTTCTCACTGTAGCTTTCCTAAAGCTGAGAAGGGGGTAGAGCAGAGGACCATTTTAAAGGGGCCCTTGAGTACTATGAAAGTAGACCTGAAACTATAAGGGGCAAAGGGTTGCCTTTTTAGAGTGTATATGAGTGATTAGTTATGCGTTCTCCTTGATCTATTAAAAAAAATGCCCTGTCATGCATAAAAAGTAGAAGACAGGTGGCTTTCCAATATACTTCAAGATCACTTTTCACTGCAATAAATAGGCAGGTATTTGAGGGTGGGGTTGCTTCATACTTGGCTCCCAGTGAGGCAGCAGGCATGCTAGAAGGTCTCTGCTGAAGCAATACTCTGGCACAGTAGCAGGTGTCTAGTTACTTCTAGGTTAAGGAAGCCAAATGACTCAAACATGGGAAGCCTTGTCACTGAGAAATGTACGGGAAGGAGAAACCACCAAATTCCCCTTGCTTTCATGAAAAGGATCTCTTCTGAAGAGCTTTGAATTTCTCCTAAGTGGTGATCCCTGCTACACATGCTGTTTGGCTGCATGAGCAAGAGACGGCTGCTGCAATAAACAGAATGTTGTCAAACCCTTTGGAAAGACAAGGCCATTGGTGGCACATCACGATCTCTTCGTAAGCAAGACTTGTCATGGAAGAGCAGGAAAAAAGCTTGTTTTCCCCTTTAAAGATGGCCCCCACCTCACACTGCATGAAAGGACATTTTGGTATCAGCGCAGAGAAGTACTCATGTAGAGAAGTGCTCATGTAATACTGTAGTTTGCCAGAGTGCTATTTGCCGTATTGTTGCTGTAAGCGATCTCTGTTATGGTTTGAATATTACTGTAAGATGTTACAAAGTAGAATTTCAGCACAAGGTAAAAGTATTCACCAGAGCTATAGGGAGACCAGACTGCTTGTTTAGAAGTTGTATTCAAAGTACTTGCAGATGTTTTTTCAGTGCATATGAAATAGTAACAAATAATTGAGCAAAGAATCTATAATAGTCCACAGAACCTTCCATTCAAGGATCAAAGTGCTTTACAGATACAGATCAATGATGCCTCTACCTCTCGGTGAGGAAAGTATTCTCATTTTATAGGTAGAGAAACTGTGGATCAGAAGTTGACTTGCCCAAGGTCATGTGGCAAGTCTTTATCAGAACAAGGAATCGGAGTCAGAACTCGCTCGCAGTCCTGTGTGGTAATCACTGGCCCATGCTTCCTATACCCAGGACACTTGCATCTAAAGTGCAGACCTTCTGCTTTTTTACATACTTTTTTGTTAGCTAGTTAAGGTACCAGGTAGTGGAATAGTGATCTTCTGGGTGGGCATTGCCTGTTGGAGAAGGGTGGTTCTTGGGGAGAGAGTAATACTGCCTTAGATTGCACATCTCTATGGTATAGTAATGGGTGACTGTCAAATCCTGAGCATGTTGTATCATGGTAGGTAGATTGACCAAGAGAATGCTCCAGTATTCTGGCTGATGGTTAGGTTAATAACCATGGCCATTAACGTGGTTCTTTTTCTGACTAAAACACTGAAGAAAATTCTTTCAGCTTCATAATTAGAAGAGGAATTGAATGTTTCATGTGTGATTAGCTGTAGTTCAGCTTTCATAGTCTGGCATGGCCAGGTGCATTTTTTGTTTGTTTTAAAAACACATTAATAATTCAACAGACAAACTTTCAGATGGACTTGTATGTATAGCTAAGTTGTTACAGAAGCCCATGGGAAGAGAAATCATTCCCCCAAAGAATCTTAACGAAAAGTCAACAGATGGAATGGAGTGTGACCAGTCCATTGACTTTTGGTTCTTATTGCTGAAGGGAGGCTTTGCCAGAACTGTACAATGTGATCGGCTTGCAAAAGGTCCCAGGCTATTAGAGAGACAAGGTGGTTGAGGTAATCTATTTTATTGCAAGTCGGTGCAATAAAAGACATAACCTCACTTACCTTCTCTCTCTAATAAGAATGTAGGTACTCCACCTCCTTGCCAGGCTGTCTACGCTGGGAATTAGGTTGGTATAATTGTGTCACTCAGGGGTGTGGATTTCCACAACTCTGAGCGACATAGTAATACCAATATAAGGCTATGTCAACACTACACAACTTTTAGCGACATGGCTGTGTCGATACAGCCCTGCTGCTAAAAGTCGTGCAGTGTAGCCGCTGTTTGTCGTCTCTCCTGCCGACAAAAAACTTCCATCCCCAACGAGTGGCATTCCTGCCGACAACGCACCGTTCACACTGGCACTTGTTGCGGCAAAACTTTTGTCTTTTGGGAGGTGGGGGTTTAACACCTCTGAAAGACACAAGTTTTGTCGTTCCATTGCCAGTGTAGACATAGCCTAACTTTGTATTGTAGACCAGGGCTAAGAAAGCCTGGGGAAGTTTGTATGCAAAGGACTTCTTACCTCATTCAGTGTCCTTTTCTAACTGCGCCCCACCACCACTTGTCATGGGCCCATGAATTATTCATGTCCAATTATTCCTTCTTCAGCATCGCTGACAATAAACAACATTTTGTCTACAAAGAAATTCTTTTGCAAGCCTCCCCCATTAGGATGACCCACACTGTATTTGAAATCTTTCTTCGAGGACATGAAATGAAGAATCAATTCATTGACTTTCTAGAGTTTAACATATGAGTTGTGGTCAAGTAACATACAGAGAAGCCGAGAGAATGAGCCTAAACCGTCTTAAACTCACCAATGGTAAATAAATCAGAATGGCTAAACTCTGGCAGGTCCCTGGGGCTTACAGAGTAAAACTCTAGTACTGGCTTTCTGATGGCTGAAACTTTGCATTGTAGTTACCCGCCTTTATGGGCCTTAACTGCAGTGGCTAATTCCAGCACTTGATCAGAGAGTGGGGAAGGGGGCATTCCTGTCTGGCAGGGAGTGTCTCAGCAGTTTTCACTAGGAACAGGCATGAAACCGAAAAGAGTGGTGGGTTAAGCAGTTAGAAAAGTGAGTGTATGCTAAGCACTGTCTCAGATGCAGATGACTCTGCTGGAAGGATGACAGGAATCCGCAGGAGAGAAACAGACGCAGGGATTGAAATGGCTGAAGCTTTGGCCTAAATAGAAGTAAATGTGGAAGGGTTTTTCTAGATCAGGGAAATGAATCAGAGGTGGGTTTTTTTGGCTAATTCAAGCCACTCATGCCCATTCACTAAAATGGTGTGATTGTGCCTTGTCATATCCACAGATGGAGATGTAAACGTCCCTAAAGCACCGGGAGAATCTATTTCGGACCACTCGCTGTAATGCTCACAAGGGGTCTTTAAGCCGAGTTCAAGCGGCAGACAGTGATACTGTGGCGTAATGTATTAACAGAGACCGCAGCAGCACAGGTTCTGCTCCTAGCTCGTAACGTGAAATAATGCGAGTAGGATCCTAACTAGTCTGTGGCTCGATAATTGTCAGAGAGTTTCAGAATTCATTCTGATTGCATGCCTTTGCTTCAAACTGCTTGTCACCTTTCAACAGGAGTCCCGTTTCAGCTACAAATGGTATATACTATTAGTTTGTGGCCTTGCCAACACATGCCTCTGGGAGGACCTCTCCCTGCTATAAATAAATGCTGCCAAATTCAACAAGCTGGACTGAGTTGCCTTTTGAAGTGCCTACTGGAAATGGACTGTGGTAAACTGCACATTGCTGAAAGAATGGCGTTGATTCAGACTGTAGCAGTTGAGGAATAAATTGAGTACGCCAATTGGTTGAATTTAACCCTTTTGACTAAACAAAGTTAGCTGAGCCCCTCCAGCAAAGGTATTTTTCTCTCTTATACGATTGTACATGTTCCCTTTCCTTTGCAAGTGCGTAGTTCAGGAACAAGTGAGAGGGGAGTTTCAGTTGTATGAGGCGAATGGGAGCGTGTGACAACACTCAAATAGAAAAGCCATTTCTGTAGCAGATGGAAACTTCCCATTTAAGAAACATTTCTACAAATAGGAGTTCAAATAGACTAATATTTCAAGGGGGTCTTGGTGACTTTTGTCGTGAATTTTGTGGTGGTTGAGCTCCATGCTGACATGAAGATAATCCCTCAGATAATTTGTTGCATAAAAAATGTTGGATTCTCTAGATCCTTTTTCATCTGCAGCTAGAGATCAGTAAGAGGAATGTGTAGCCAGCAGACAATCAAAATCACATTTCTCTTGAATTTGCTGCTGCTATGGTCTAGCCAACAATTTTCACTTCTTTGAGGCCCTGAATCTAAATATGGAAAATCATCCATACAAAAAAAAAAAGGAACCTCAAATCCAGTTTAGAGTTTTTTACTCTCGTATGTGGGTGAAGGTGGGCTGAGAGGAAGCCAAACAAACCTGGGAAGGTAGGTTTCTTATCTCATGACTATTCTTTGATTTAATGCAGGTCCATCCTCTTTTTTCCCCCTGCCTCATACTGGGAATTAGTGTCCTCTTTCTCTTCCCCTGCATACTGTGGGAGTATTTTCTGGCATAGAAGTGTGTCCTTAGCATCTTAATTTTATGAACAAGATCCTGATGTGCATATGTAATGGTCCTTTTAATACACCAGTGGGTATCAGAAATAGAATCTCGTAGGGGGGTTACAGTGGGTTAAAAGTCAATCTACATTGCTGACGTTTTAGAATTTAGAGGATACACTTCTCTGTTTACAATATAGCATATGCAGATTTCTTTCTGATTTTTCTTATTCCTCTCTGATGCGATCTTTAGAATGGGTTGCTAAAGCACCATTTTTGCCCCATAGGCTACGCGGGTGTCTCAAACTTCCTTCTTACCCATGTTTATGTACCTCTTCCTGTACCAACAAGGAGAATAATCCCTCTTCTTTTAGGCCTCGTTTACCGTTAACAGGGTTTGCCAGCATAGATATACTGGTAGAACTATACCAGGAAACCCCCTTTTGAAAATACAGCTTCAACTGGCAAAGGAATTCTCTTGCAGGTAAAGCTTAAACCAGTTCCCCAAACAGAACAAGCGATACTAGCAAAAGGACTTTTTAGCCAGCATAACTGCAGCTACCCTGGTATAGCAACGTTGATTGGGGGTGTGATTTTACAACATTTTTATGTTGGCAGAAGTCTAGTGTAGACTGTTATATTGGCAAAGTGCTTTTGTGGTTTATTTCTTTGGGGAAGCTGGTATAAGGCATGCTAGCAGAAACACTGTGCCTCCCCCAGAAGGCTTTACTGGTATAGCTATACTGGCAAATCGTTTCAAGTGTAAGCAAGGCCTTACAAGGCGTTCGGAGGATTTTGTGCAGAGTATTGAATATTAAGGGCTGTCAAGCGATTAAAAAAATTAATTGTGATTAATCGCACGGTTAAACAATAATAGAATACCATTTATTTAAATGTTTTTGGATGTTTTCTACATGTTCAAATATATTGCTTTCAGTTACAACAAAACACAAAGCGTACAGTGCTCACTTTGTATTTATTTTTATTACAAATATTTGCACTATAAAAAACAAAAATAGTATTTTTCAATTCAGCTAATACAAGTACTGTAGTGCTTATCTCTTGATCATGAAAGTAGAACTTCCAAAGTTAGAATTATGTACAAAATAACTGCATTCAAAAATAAAACAATGTAAAACTTTAGAGCCTACGAATCCACTCAGTCCTATTTCTTGTTCAGCCAATCGCTCAGACAAACAAGTTTGGTTACATTTGCAGGGGATAATGCTGCCTGCTTCTTGTTCACAGTGTCACCTGAAAGTGAGAACAGGCGTTCATAAAGCACTGTTGCAGCCAGGGTTGCAAGACATTTAACATGCCAGATGCGCTAAAGATTCATATGTCCCTTCATCCACCATTCCAAAGGACATGCATCCATGCTGATGATGGGTTCTGCTTGATAACAATCCAAACCAGGGGCCATGTCTAGACTAGGAAAAGGCCTTTATTTTCAACCAAGTTAGCTCAAACTTGATTGAAAAAATAGTTTTGTTTTTCCTAGGTGAGATAAGGCCTAAGTGTTTTGATTCCCAGTCCTGTCTTCTGATTGCTAAATCATGCCATTACTCTTGTGAAAAATAACCTATACTAAACCCGTTGTAATGTAGTCTTGTAAACATGTCTAATGACTTAGCTGCAAATAAGTCAATTTAAAATAGTTTTTTATTTTTATTTTTAAATGTCTAATCTTACAATAAAGGTCAGTTAGCCAATGGAATTACTAGCCAAAGGATATCACCAAGGCCTTGTCCCTTAAGTGTTCAGAAGAGACTACATAAACTGAAAGTGATTTCAAAGAAAGCTGTAGTATTAACGCAGCAGCGACCTTTCTCCTTTGCCAGGCTGCAGAAGCGTGTTCTTCCTGACTTTCTTCTCTCCACAGCTGAGCGTGCTCTAGACACCATGAACTTCGATGTGATCAAAGGCAAACCCATCCGCATTATGTGGTCTCAGCGAGACCCCTCTCTGAGGAAGTCGGGGGTTGGGAATGTCTTCATCAAGAATCTGGACAAATCCATAGACAACAAGGCACTTTATGACACATTCTCAGCATTTGGGAATATCTTGTCCTGCAAGGTGAGACTTGGTACCTTCCCTAAACCCTGAACACCCACCTTTGTGTAAGAATCCACCTTCCATCGCACTTACTCGACCCAACTAAACACACACAACAAGGGATGGAAAGCGGGGATGTCCACCATGCTTGGGCAAGGGAATCTCCAAAAGCAGAACAGAAAAGGACATAGCTGAGCAGAAGAGCATCATTAAAGTTAGATTTGGTCTTGATCATCAAGGCACAAAGCTGTGCACAGCTTTGAAAGCCTCTTCTTAAAATGCCTGGCTGACTCTGTCCCTTGGCATGACTTGTTTTCCCTTGTTGACACGGCACTTGTGCAAGCGCAACAAATGGAAAAGCTTCTGTTCTCTGCAGTTGACGATACTAGCAAGAGCACCAGTTTCAGGCTATGAAAGGGTGGGTTAATGTTTGGCTTGTAGCTGGCATATGATTTAAATCTGGGATTCTGGCTTTTGTATGTAGTACATCAGCAATACTAGGTCAGGCTTATCCTTGTGGAGAGCACTTCATTCACAGATGTGAGTGCTTCACAAGGGAGGGTACATATCAGCAGTCCTTCACAGAATGAAAAGCTGAGGAAGGGAGATGACGTACCCTTGCTCAAGGTCACATAACAGCTAAGTGGCACATTGTGGACCAGAACCCAAGTCTCTTGACTCCTAGCCTAACTTCCTATCCACTGGACCATGCTTCTCTCCAGTATTTAGTTTTCGTTATTATTTATTTGTATTGCGCCAAGGAGCCCTAGTCAAGAACCAGGACCCCATTTTCCTCTTCTTCATACCTTCTGTGTAAATCAAGGAAAACAGAGGACGTCTCTGCTGTTATCCTGTAACCAACATTTTCTGTCTTAGTGCAGAGCTGATGATCTGATTTGTTCCATCACTTGTAGGTGGTGTGTGATGAGAATGGCTCTAAGGGCTACGCATTTGTGCACTTTGAGACCCAGGATGCTGCAGACAGAGCCATCGAGAAGATGAATGGCATGCTGCTAAACGACCGCAAAGTGTGAGTGTCACAGCCAGAAGCAGCAACGATCGCATGAACCATGATGCATCTCGGTATTAACAGGGGACACACAAGGCTACTGGTTCTCCTGGCCCAAGCCTTGGCCTGCTACCTCTCCACTACAGGGCTGGTGAGTTTCCCTGCCCAAGCCATGGCCTGTTACCTCTCCACTACAGGGCTGGTGGATCTCCCTGGCCAAGCCTTGACCTGCTACCTCTCCACTAATGGGCTGGGTGGGTATCCTTGCCTTACACTCTTCACTGCAGAGCTGGGTGGGCATCTTTGGCCTGCCGCCTCTCCACCATAGGACAGTTGATTCATCTGCTTGGTCTCTGGCGTGTTACATCTTCCCCCAGCTCCTACCAGTCACTCGTTTTTAGCCCACTGCAAATCACACATCCACCCTTGAAAACGAGTTTTTTTCTCACCGTGACTCTCGCTTTTTCTTTTCAGATTTGTTGGGAGATTCAAGTCCCGTAAGGAGCGGGAGGCTGAGCTGGGAGCCAAAGCAAAGGAGTTCACCAATGTTTATATTAAAAATTTTGGGGATGACATGGATGATGAGAGACTAAAGGAGCTCTTCAGCAAATATGGTAAATACACTCTCGCTGCAGCTGCAAACCTTGTACCCCCATAGTAATTCACGTGAGTGCTGCCAACCGTGGTGCTAGTTCTGAGTCACTCTGAGGACAGAGAAGCAGGATAATCCAGAGAGAGTGGGCAGTTGTCAGACAGGAGGCAGAGGCTGGGACACAAAGGGAATGAAAGAAAGCCAGGTGGTCTGTGAGTCTTTAGTTTTGATTTTGAAAAGCTCTCCTGGAAATGTAGTGTAGCTAACTCTGTCCCTTGGCAACAGGCAAGACACTGAGCGTTAAGGTGATGACAGATCCCACTGGAAAGTCCAAAGGCTTTGGGTTCGTGAGCTTCGAAAAACATGAAGATGCCAACAAGGTACGAAACTGCTTTCGTTCTAGTCGGGTGTTTATACGGAAATAAGTGTGGGAAGCCATCATCTAGTGTAGGGATGGGGAACACTGATCCTCAGAAAGGCTTAGAGCCGAGAGTGTCCAGAGTTGGGTTGAATAGCTTCTGCACTTCACCAAGTTGGATGTTCAAGGTTAAAGCCCACATTCCCCCAAACTACTAGATCTGTATGGTATCCTGTTGGATAAATAGCAGGAATTTTATCTGATCAGGGATCATTACGCCAGGAGACAAGTTGGGGAGGTGTCTGGAGGTGGCATGATGCTCAGAAATGCTCTTCCCTCAGAGTAGGTCTTACAAGATTTGTCCCTGTAGTCAAGGGTTGAATAATCGTCTGTACGTTCACATCTCTCTGCTGTGAGTCCGGAATTTAGAGTGAGCTGTGTGAGGATGGTTCCTGTTGACACCTTCAGTTTGTATTTTATCGGGCCCTTATTTAGATGTAACACAAATGTAATGTTACAGGAGAGGGGGGTGGATTGTTGGCACTCAAGCTGGTAGTAATAGGAGTAGCTGCCACTTTTTCACCATTTGACAGGAATTTTCTGTTTGAACCCCTGTCCAGGCAGTGGAAGAAATGAATGGAAAGGATATTAATGGAAAAATGGTATTTGTAGGCCGGGCACAGAAGAAAGTAGAGCGCCAGGCAGAGCTGAAACGGAAGTTTGAGCAGCTGAAACAAGAGAGAATCAGCCGGTACCAGGTAAGACAGTGTGTGTTCCTGTTCTGGATGCAGGGACCCATCTTCAAGCAGAAGTGTACTGGTGGACTTAAAGGGAACATGCCTATTCTTATTTAATTGTCAGCTTGCAATACTGACCTCTAGAGTTAAAGGCAATCGCCTAGTATTGGCAGAGGGAACTCCAGGGGTCAGAGCTATGGCAACAGACTGAAATTTTTAGTGGCCTGTGAGACTAAAGTCTGGGGTTTGTAAGGACTATCAACATAAAGTCTCAAGCATGTAGTCTCTCCTGCAGTTATGAAGACTGACACCTTACATGGATGACAAAAGGTAGCAGAGATCAGGCCACCTTCTGTGGTTGTGGCTTATGGTAAAGCTAGGTCAGGATATTGTTTGCATCTAAATCTTTCCTGCTCCTTGCAGTGCAGTGCAGGACTGGGGACACATGATGCTACAGCAAAGCAGAGGAAATCCAGACAGGCTCCTTTCCATTTGCACTGGGACTTGTCTCTACAACTCTGCAACATTTCCTGCCCTTAGTTATTAGGGGAGCGAGCTCTGGGTTTGGATCATTTCCACAGCTTAATGGGTTTGGCAGCAAGATGTGGTTGCTCAATATTCCCTAAATATGCAATTTCTTCATTGGTCTGGCTGTCTTCCATATTGTTAGCCTCATGTATTAGTATTCTCTCTTCTAGGGTGTTAATCTGTACATTAAGAACCTAGATGACACTATTGATGATGAAAAACTGAGGAAGGAGTTTTCGCCTTTTGGGTCTATTACAAGTGCCAAGGTATTGTCAGGGTTTATAGATTCTTAGATTTCAAGGCCTGAATGGGAGGGGTCATTATCTAATCGGGGCGTGGGGTTGAGGGTGATTCGTATATCTGGGGTTCTCTTAAGCACCGAAAACATCTTGACCAGTCAAGATGTGGATTTCAGTGGGACTGAAATGTGTTTTTACGTGAGAATGGTATTGAATACTTGCTTCATCCCTAATGAGGTGGGAAATGGCAAACTGGCTTGTGTTTCAAGTGACTCCTGACATAATTGAGATGCCCAGGAGTGTTGAGTCATGCAGTTTAAAAGGTGCACCTGAATCTTTCCCATTCCTTGCAGTACAGTGTGGGCCTGGGGACACATGGTGCTAACAGCAAAGCAGAGTAAATCCAGACAGGTGGTTTTCCTCCCTCATTGAGGGCTTGTCTCTACAACTCTGCAACATTCCTCCTCTGACCGGAGGTTGTGGAGATTCACTAGGGTAAAACATACAGCTTCTCTTTATTGGCAGGGAATAGGAAGGAAGTAGAGGTTTCGTTGGAAGTAGCAACAATTGATTCATTGCTGGCTGATTCACTCCCTATAGACAACAGTCCCTTCCTGTGTGATATACATGAAAGATCACTGAGTACTTGAGTCCCCTGAATTGTGAATAGATTGCTATGAGTCTAGCCAAGCCCTCATGACATGGACCTGCCTTCGCAATGCTGCCACTCTGTCAATCCTCGTTTTAGGTGATGCTGGAGGATGGACGAAGCAAAGGGTTTGGCTTCGTCTGCTTTTCCTCTCCAGAAGAAGCTACCAAAGCCGTGACTGAGATGAATGGGCGTATCGTGGGCTCCAAGCCATTGTATGTTGCGCTGGCACAGAGGAAAGAGGAGCGAAAGGCCCACCTCACTAATCAGTATATGCAGCGCATTGCTGGAATGAGAGCCCTGCCTGCGAACACGATCATTAACCAGTTCCAGCCAGCTGCTGGGGGGTACTTCATGCCTGCTGTGCCCCAGGTAAGTCAGAGTGGTTTTACTCCCAGCGTCACCTGGCTTGAATCTCTGACGCTGCGGCTGCAAGGACTCCATTGAGTCTCTCTGCTGTGCCTTTCGCCAGGCTGCAGCGCCTCACGTGAGGTACCTAGTCCGTGGGATTCGTTCTGTGACTTCCCAGCTGCCTGCTATTGTCACGTGACTCTGGGGCCCAGAGCGCTGAGCTCAGGAAGGGCATCAAATCCTGTTGTAAACAACATTTGCCATCACTGGCTTAGATCTGGCTTCTTCTTTGTTTTTTTCCATCCTCTTCAGGCTCAGAGCAGACCCACTTACTATTCACCCAATCAGATGACGCAGATGAGACCTAACCCACGCTGGCAGCAAGGGGGGAGACCTCAAGGTGAGTGTGTTGGAAACGGAGCTGTGGCTTTAAGACACCTGTTTGTCTTACTCTCTGATTATCCTTCACACTACCTGTTGATCCTGTGTCTGATGCCCTTTTGTGCCACTAGACGTTGGAAGAAAAGTGCAGTTGTTCCCCTGCAAAGAACAGACTAGACGTCATTCTTGGTCATGGCTGGGCTGCCAGGTGGCGAGGGACACCCACTCGTTCTGGTGACTGAAATCTCTGCTAGGCAATATCCACACACCTGATGACATCTGTTGTTGATCTGGGCTCTGGCATGCCAGTCTCTGAGAACTACCCTCTGTCTTACCAGGCAGACTCTGTAGTCTCCTGTGTGTTAATACAAGTGTAGCCTGCTGGGGTTTCTAGAGCCACAATTCCTTCTCTCTTTCCAATGTGGGCAAGGATGACAGCAACAATGAGGACTTCTCCATTGAATCCCCTTCCTTGACTCCCTCCTTCAAGACACGCATGCACAAGCGCACACACATCTCCCAGCTGGTGGGCCGGGAACTGCTAATCATTTTGTATTTTGAGAATTTCCTCTCCTTGCTTTTCTCTCAGGATTCCAAGGAATGCCGAATGCCATGCGCCAGTCCGGACCGCGCCCAGCACTGCGCCATCTGGCTCCTGCTGGCAATGCTCAGGCCTCTCGTAGCCTCCCTGCTGCTGCCCAGAGAGTTGGTAAGCAGTCCAGCTCTTACTTTCTTCTCCAAGTCTAAGTGGAGAAGCAGGGGCTGCAGAGTCTCGTGTGTTTCTGAAGACTGATGCCGGATGTGGATGGCAAGAGGCAGCATGGAGCACACAGTTGTTGTAGGGCCCCATGTTAGGGTGGCATAAGTTAGGGTAAAGAGAGCACCTAAATCTTTCCCATTCCTCGCGGTGCAGTGCTGGTCTGGGGACAGTTGGTGCTATAACACAGCAGAGGAAATCCAGACAGGTGACTTTGCACTTTAATTGGGACTTGTCTCTACAACTCTGCAACACTTACTACTCTCTGTATGATTATGGAGGTTTCTCCAGAGTTAGATGTCCAGCTCACGCAGTTGGAGGGGATGTAAGTAGGAAATGTCTCACAAGCAGCATCTATCATTGGTTTAGGGTGATGGAGAAAAGCCCTGTCCTAAGGTGGCCCAGTGTTTCTGGGGTATAACTCTAGCGAGGTGATGGCAGTTCTCTTCCACGGTAGTACAAAAGGAACTAATTTCTGACTGGGGCCCCAGGTTAGAAGCTCCAGGATAACACACGCAGCAGGATAATTAACCTCTTCCCCAACTATATCTAATACGACAAACTGAATAGTACACAGCTCAGAATAATTTGGCAGGTACGGAGCCTGTTCAGCTGCCGGGTATGTTGTGTTAGCGCAGCGCCTCACAAAATTTTAGTTCCAAGTATGTGTATAACGAGGATGCAGCGTGCAAAACAGGGCTTGGTCCAGCTTGATCCGGGACTGAGTTCTAGCTTGGGACCATTACCTCCCAGGCACTGAAAAAGACAGGTTCTGCACCAATATTTGGCTCTGCATTGAATAAACTCTGCTGCTGGACAGCGGTGGTGCTTAGTTGTGGTTGTTCACAAATTCCACACGGTTTGCATCAAGCTAGAAACACAGTGGGTTTTAGACTTGTGTGCCACACACTTCTGTGCATGTGTATAATCTGGTATCCTATTCTTCCTTTGCAGGCGTCGCCACGGCAGCTCAGAATTTAGCCCCTCGTCCGCCTGTAACTGCCCCGGCTCCCAGAGCAGTTCCCCCTTATAAATATGCCTCAACGGTCCGCAGCCCACACCCAGCAGTACAGCCTTTGCAGGTAATACGAGGGGCTGTTGCAGCCAGCAATGGTAAAGTTAGACCATAGTAGCTACAGGAGCAGCTTTTACAGCTAAACTTGACTGTAAAGTGGATTTTTTTTTCTAGAAAGGCCAGATTACTTTGCTAACAGAGATGGCAGAATTTGGGAAGCTGGCTGTTCTCCTCCACTCACTCAGCTCTGCTTGTGCAGCTCAAGCCAATCATCTTGTTTAGCCTGGCAGGCCCTTTATTTACCCTTTTTTCCTCCCAGGGATGCTCTTGGGTCCTTGCCCCCAACTTTCTCTGGCCTCAGCTGCACCTGGTCGTTTCTTAGCCAGGCTGGATAGCACAGCCTTTCTCGAGGGATCCTTGAAGATGCAGCTAGACCCCTCTACAGAGGTCACCAGGCACATCCCATTGTTGAACAGCAAATCTGAGTGCTGCTGTTGTCCCAGCATTACATTACCCCATCAAGCAGTCCTGTACCTCACAGCTCTAAAACGATCCATACGTAGGACGTTTACAAGCAACGTGCCTCCAAGTTCCAGGATTCCTTTTTGAGGCTTGATTGTGAACTAAGAGCACCGTGTCGGTCCTGCACTGAACCAGTCTTGCCCATAGGCCTTTCCAGCTGCTCAGGCTCTGCCACGGATTTATTTGTGTCCTTGGGGAGGAGCTATAGATTCTCTTGCTGTCGCTAAACAAAAAAAACCAACCGTTCCCTTTTACGCATCACTACTGAATTCTCCTATTGCTTCTTACAGGCACCTCAGCCTGCAGTACATGTCCAGGGACAGGAACCTTTAACTGCGTCTATGCTAGCTGCTGCCCCTCCCCAGGAGCAGAAACAGATGCTGGGTAAGTGACGACATAGTTCTTGAGGAAGCCTCCAGGGCTATAAGGAAGCTAAACCCATTCCTTGTGATCCTGTTCTAATTCAGGCCAATTCACGGGAGTTGGAAAGCATCAGTCTTTCACATATGAGGACACCCCAGCCACTTTTGAGAAAGCAACTGGACACATTAGTAGCGAAATCCCTCTGTAATGTGTGTACAGATAATGGTTAAAAGTGCGGGGGGTGTAACTATCAGGGTTTGAAATGATCGTTTCATTGGAACCACAGCTTCCAATTGCAGTAGCATTGGCTCCGCCTTGTTGAACTGCATTCAGCTTGTTTTCATGGAGATCTTTCCGGTGTCTTGTCTGCTCTACATGGACGTTAAAGTCCCTCTGGCAATTCTGGGCCAAAATTTTCCACAGCCTTCACTGCTGTCTACCTGGTGGCTGCCCTTCCCCCCGAGTTTGGCAGCATCCCACAGTGGTACTGTGTGCAAATACTTTGTAAAGTTTTTGAGATGAGGTGCTACAGAAATGGAACGTTAATGCCCTGGCTCAAAGCTGGTGATTTACCTTCCCTCTTTGTCATAATTGCTGCAAAGCCCCTCAGAGCACTCTACAAAGACCATCCGTTTGACCTTTGCTTTCCTAGGAGAACGTTTGTTCCCCCTGATCCAAGCTATGCACCCCAGCCTTGCGGGGAAGATCACAGGAATGCTACTAGAGATTGACAATTCAGAGCTACTGCACATGCTGGAGTCTCCAGAATCCCTCCGGTCAAAGGTAAATTCCCACGCCCTTCATGGCAGGCTTGGCTGGAGAGCGATCATGGATCTTATTTGATCATTTGTCTATCCCAGGTGGAGGAGGCTGTTGCTGTGTTGCAGGCTCACCAAGCCAAGAAAGAAGCTGCCCAGAAGGTGGGCGTGGTTGCTGCTACCTCTTAAACCAGGAAGACTGGTGAGTGCATCCCTGCTCTCCTCTTCAATCCGAAGCTTTCAGTATCAGAGTAACTAGAATATTGGTTGTAGGGAGTGCAGCCTGCCTAGAAGAGGGGTCAGGGCTCCAGCAGAATTTCAGTCCACTCCTTGCAGATCAGTGCAGTTTTGCATACAGAAATTCCTGAGGATAGAAGCTTCAGAACTTTTCTTTTAGAGATCCATTCACATTTCATCTTCAAACAGGTTTCTTGAGTTCCTGAAGTATCTCCAGCAGCTAGCGTGTCAGGGAAGGATAAAAATATACTGAAATGAGATTTGTGAAGACCTTTAAATTATTAATCCATGTTAAAGAATAGAATCCATCAAAATAAGAGCAAAATCACAAGACATCAGTCATTTTTGGGCAGGGCAAAATGGAGACATATCACACCTAAATGCCCAGGTTTATCCAAGTTGACAAGTACCTTTAATTAAAATTACCTACTGTGTTCTTCTCCATTAGCTGCTAAGTAATGCTTTCAGTTTCTCTGAATGCCCCTGTAGATGGGTGGCTTAAACTACATCTAGATTTTCACATGCCTTTCCATAGCAGCTTCCCCTCATAAATTCCCTAATGTGGATTAGTCTGGAATTACTGTGGTCCAATAAAAGATATTACCTCACCTACCTTGTGTGTCATATCCTGGGACCAACTGAGCTACAACACTGACCAGTAAGGCACTTTATATGAGGCGGTTATGACAGGGTATCACCACTTCTGGCACTAAAGATTTATAGGAAATCTTCCATTTCGGGAGGCACTGTCGCTTTAAAATGACAACAGCCAATCTGGCAATTCATTATAGTATGCAGATTAGATAGTAAATTTGCCCCTTGGGTTTTTTAATGGTTGATAATTTTGGATATTGGCACACTGGGCTGGATTGAGTTATGTTGCCTGTAGAGAATTTAGTATTTTCTTAACCTTTTTTTCCTCCCCCCCATAGGATGCAAAGAAGCCAAATAACCCCTTCACAGACATCAGCTCAAGATGTTTGGAGATGCCCTTCGCTGTCCTGCAGATCTCAACACCATATCACATAGCTATACTGTATTTTGTAAATTAGTCTTTAAAAATCTTGTTTAAAAAGTCAATTCCATGACACTTTAGGTTTCCAAGACCAGGATTAAGTTTGCAAGCTTTTCCTTTGTGGCCAGGACAGAGCTAATCTTTGTCTTTTCTAAGCAGGACATTGAGGATTTCTGATTGAAAGTTTTTTGTGGGTTTGGTTTTTAACTGAACAATCCAGTTTGTGAAGTCTGGAAAGCCTTTATCAATAAAGGAATAAAACCTTTCATTAAATGGGTCTTTTCTCCCGCCTATTGTGCCAAACCACATGAATTTCTTGTCAGAAGTAAACTGTTAAGCAATTGTCACATGATTTAAAAACTTAGTTGTGATTTAATGGCACTATTTTCTCTCTCTCTCTGTCTCTCTCTCTCTCTGTCTCTGTCTCAACATGACAATCCCTGCTATCAAGTAGCCATGATAAAATACCACTTGACATTTTGACTTCAAACTGCAGTGTTTGGGTCTGGTTGGTATTTGAAAGGCAGACCTTTAAAGAAAGCCCATTGTATTAGACATGGTGTTGATTTCCTAGGTGGGACACAGCCCTCTGAAATGGTATTGGGAGATATTTTTCAGATGAAGGATAGAGAAGGGGTTCTGATTACGTTCCATTTAAAAATACCAGGGCACTCTGCAAGAGTGGAAAATACCCGGCCATTCTTCACGCTGGATGACTACATACTGTGTACCTCCGTTCCTCCTGCATATTCAATAGGATATTTTATTTCACTTCCTTTTAAGAGTTGTATAGTGTCGTACTGTGCTAGTAAAACTATTCTGCACCTTCGAGGTCCTGCATTTCAGTGGTGGGAGGTTTTGATATGTGCTATGTAAAGTGGTTTGGGGGCATTCTTTGGCATGGAAGGTATTCTATAAATGACTTAGAGGTACAGCCCAAAAAGGTAGGGTTAGTATTATCAAAGGATTTAAGAGAATCTCCCCTAAAGGGAAACCGCCAAGCTGGAAAGCACACTTCAGTTTCTCTGCAGAAGGAGGATGATGCCTGCTTCACAGGGGAGCTAAGGCTTAATACAGGGTTGCAAAGCATTTTTAGATCCTTGGAAGAACTGTGTTAGGAAAGTATAAAGGGCTTTTTTGGTTTCTAGATTTAAATGCCACCTCGATTTTCCACTTTGCCAATCTGTGTTTTTGAGAGCAGGCCACGGTTTTGAAATATACAAGGATCCCCCTCTGAAATCTGGATTCTGGTCTAGAAAACACTGTGCCTAAACCCAAGAGTAGAAGCTAGGAGAGCAGAAATGCAGTGCCCTGCATCTCCTGAGGGCAAGTCACAAAGCAGAGCATTTTGAGTCTAATGATACAGACTCCTTTGTATGGGGAATTGAACAATATATTGTAACAAGATCCTGAAAAGGCTGGTAGCTCTTAAACATCAGTTATACATTGGACCTGTTCTCTTAGCTGACCACTCTAATAATTCCCTTTCTGCTTCCCAGCTGCAGTGCCACAGTTCATAACATTAAAACTGGAAAATGGTGACTTTGCAGTCTGGTGGTATGACACTTAGCACAGTAACGTACTGATTATTTGGAAATGCAGCTGTACCTTACTGAGCATCCCAGAGAGTCAGGGTAGGACCCTGTGAAACTTGGTGGGCACAGGCAGTTGGCATTGGACTCCGACGCAAACACAGCTCTTGCAAGCCCCTTTAAGTTCTATGATCACTGGACACCCTGCCATTCAGGATCAGGGCTCCAGTGGGGTAAGTCTTGTAGCCCCATTTACAATCTATCCTCAGTCAGTTTTCATTAACTCCTACTTCTAAACCACGTGCACATAAACTGCTGAACCGACTGGCTGTAATGCTAGCTGGAGCCACAGAAACGCCTCAGAGGCTGCACTATGGCCATCCTGGTTGCAATAGCAACTAGGGGATACTAGGGTTGGGGGGGGAAACTATAACTCAGAGGTTGCTTCAATAATCTTGACCACCCAATGGCATTGTAGTGGATAAGGTTGAAGACATTTGTTCTGTGGAGGGCAGTTGATCATCCTGCATCACTAGGTTGTGGGTTTAATTTCCCCTCTTCCCTAGGAAAAACACTCTTCTTCCTGGGGTTACTAATTCACACATTCTAAGGCCCAACGGCAGGGTTGGGCTCATCTGCTCCATTGCACAGCGTGGGCCTGAGAACTCCCCCCAAATAATTCCTAGAGCGGATCTTACAGAAAAACGTCTAATCGTGATTTTTAAATGGTCTGTGGTGGAGGATCGACCATAAACCTTGGTCTGTTGTTCCAAGGGTTAATGCCTCTGTTAATAAGGGATGCCTTATTTCCACTCTGACTTAGGAAGGAAAAATCAATTTCACACATACAGAATGGGAAAAGACTGTCTAGGAAGGAGTACGGCAGAAAGGGATCTAGGGGTTATAGTGGACCACAAGCTAAATATGAGTCAACAGTATGGCGCTGAAG